GTCACCATGTGGCAGCATCACGTGTACCATCACGGACAGTGGGCAAAGAGCAGAGGCCGATGGCACTGGGAAGCAAGGAAAGGTGTGGCTGGGCACCTCTTGGCAGGACCAGGGAGGGTCTGCAGGGAGGTCTACTCAGAACCATGTGCTCAGAGTCCCAGAGCCTAAAATCGGTCTCGGCCCCCGGAGCCCTCCTAGCCCAATCCCTCATTTTATAGATATTTAAACTGAGGCCCAGGGACAGGAAGGGACCTGCCCAAGGCCAGTCGGCATGCCACCAACAGAGCCAGGCCTCGAGGCCAGGTGTCCAGAGCCACAGTCTGGCATCTGCCCTGCCCACTGGAGCCCCAGCCCGTGATGCTGCCTCATTTTTCACTTGCCTGGAAATCGACGTGGGAGGTCATTTAGCAGGGCAGTGGGGCCTGCCTGCCGGGCGAAGGCATGCTCAACAGTAATTACCTGGGAGTGAGGACAGGTTTGGTTGCCATAAATCTCTGCAGAATTTTAAAAGGAGCTGGGAATATTGACATGAATTAAATCCAATAAAACATTCATTTAATTAAACTTTAAATGGTCCAAATATTTGCTGTTTGGTTAATATTTGTGGCTGACAGGAGCAGAGTTATGACGGTTCTGTCAGTATTCACACGTTCTGATTTTACACGCGTCTTACATGCAAATAATGGGGGCGCACACAGGAAGGATGCGAACCGGCTCTCCCAGGGGTGGTGGCTGAAGGAGCAGACTTCCCATTCAGGTGTTTTGTTTGTTTTTAGCCTTGTGTTATAGGCTCCTCCAGATAGTTTTCTAAAACTTTTTTAAATATATGATTTGGGGTCCGCAAACAAGGGTGCCTGCTCCTAGCCTGGTAATTAGGGCCCCCGAGACCCCAGCCAGCCAGACTGCCTCACCTCCCCACTCCCACCTGAACTCCCCCTTTCCATCTATGCAGATCCCCCCTCTTTTAAGGCAGAGATTCTTGGGCCTCAGGATACCACAGAAGCCCTGGGGTGCTTGTTAAAGCCCAGAGTCTATGCTGCAGGAGATTTGATGTGGATGATGGGGAAACCACACCTCAAGGAGCAGGCTCTGGGGCCCAGGGGGTGCTGCCTCCTCCAAGGCCCCCTCACCCCGCCTGCCCTGTTGGTCTTTTCCTCATAGTTAAACTGGAGCTCAGACGTGCAGAGAAAACTGTAGTTTCCTTTTGTGACATGCATTTTCTTTTTTTCCTAATTACATTTATATACCTTACAAAGTGATCCCCCCGATAAGTCTAGTACCCATCTGCCACCATATATAGTTATTACAATATTAATGACCATATTCCCTGTGCTGTACTTTACATCCCTGTGACTATTTTTATAACTGGCAGTGGGTACTTCTCAATCCATTCACCTTTTTCACCCCATTGGCAACCATCAATTTGTTCTCTGTATCTCTGAGTTTCTGTTTTGGTTGTTCGTTTATTTTGTTTTTTAGATTCCACATATTAGTGAAATCATATGGTATTTGTCCTCCTCTGCCTATTTCACTTAGCATAATACCCTCTGGGTCTATCTATGTTGTCACAAATGGTAAGATTTCATTCTTTTTTATGGCTGAGTAATATTCCATTGTATATATGTACCACCTCTTCTTTGTCCATTTTTCTATCCATAGACACTTAGGTTTCTTCCCTCTCTTGACTATTGTCAATACTGCTGCAGTGAACATAGGGATGCATATGTCTTTTTTAATTAGTGCTTTGGATTTCTTCAGGTAAATACCCAGGAGTGGGATTACTGGGTCATATAGTAGTTCTATTTTGATTTTTTTAGCAACTTCCAAACTGTGTTCCATAGTGACTACACCAATTTTCAATGCCACCAACAGTGCACAAGGGTTCCCTTTTCTCTGCATCCTCACCAACACTTGTTTGTTAGTTTATTGATGAGAGCCATTCTGACAGGTGTGAGGTGATATCTCATTGTGGTTTTAATTTGCATTTCTCTGATGATTAGTGACATTGAGCATCTTTTCATACGTCTATTGGCCATCTGTATGTCCTCTTTGGATAAATGTCTATTCAGGTTCTCTGCCCATTTTTTAATTTGATTGTTTTTTTGGTATTGAGTTTTAGGAGTTCCTTATAAATTTTGGATATTAACCTCTTATTATATGTATCATTGGTGAATATCTCTCCCCGTTCAGTTGGTTGTCTTTCCATTTTATTGATGGTTCTCTCTGCTATGAAAATATTCTTTAGTTTGAAAAAGTCTCATTTGTTTATTTTTTCTTTTGTTTCCCTTGCCTAAGGAGATACATCTAAAAAAAAATCACTAAGAACAATGTCAAAGAGTTTACTGTGTATGTTTTCCTCTAAGAGTTTTATGATTTGGAGTCTTACATTTAAGTCTTTAATCTATTTTGAGATTATTCTTGTATAGGGTGTGAGAATGTGGTCTCATTTCATTTTTCTGCATTATCTTAACAGTTTTCCCAGCACCATTTATTGAAGAGACTGTCTTTACCCAATTATGTATTCTTGCCTCCTTTGTCATAGATTAATTGACTATGTAAGCGGTAACCTGATGTCTTCACAAGCCCCACCCACCAGCCATTGGGAGAAAAAATATACCTAAATGTTTAATCCATTATAAAGTTTAGTCCAAGCTGATCATTTTAGCAGTCTGTGTAAGTAATGCTCTAAGAAAAATGCTTCATGTCTCCAGTTCCCACCCCACATCCCCAGCTGCTCCTCTAGCTGCCTTCTGAGTATGGAGAAAAGCACCCTGGCATCCTCTGCCACCTCTGTTTCCTGCTACCAGGACACCCCACCTGTCAACCCTCCCCAGCTGCCCTGTCGGAGGTCAGCCCTGGTTATGCTCTTGGTCTAGGCTCTCACAGCCTGGTGGAGTTCGGGGTCTGAGGTTCCCCAAAGTTTGGCTTCCTGCAGCTCCCACTGGCACTACGCACCCTTTGTGCTCTGGAGGCCATTGCCTTTGGGTCCAGGTCTGGCTATCCAATGCAGCCTTCAGGTACAGAGGCACAGAGCACCTCACAGTCCAACCAGTGCATGGCCAAGGACCTCTGGCCCCTCTGCACCACTCAGGAGCTGAGGGGGCTCTGGGAGATAAGCAAAAGCCCTGGCTCTCTGCCACACCATGTGGTAACCCCACATCAGGAGGGGAGCAGGCTGGTTGGGGAGGGTTCAGCCTCCTCTTAGAGCACCCCCCTTGCTGCCCTTCACCTACACACCAACAGGCATACTCTTTGCCCTTCCTACTGTCTCCTTTCGGATTCCCACAATGCCCTGGGACAAGGAGGGGGCATTTTATACCCCTTCTTCATGGCTTGTCAGATGAGGAAGAGGTACCTCGTCTACACTTGGAAAGTACTCGGGGTTCCGAGTCCCAAGGGCCTGCACAGCACAGTGAGAGCTAAACAACTCTAGCAAATTCTTCTTCTCCGTCCCTCTCTCTATCCCTCTAAATCTCCAAAGCCAGGGGCTTGCTACGGAACACTAGTGCCTTCTCTGCCTTCTCAGCCCTGAGCAGTAAGCCTCATGACTCAGAGGTGGGAGGGCAGCAAACAGAAGTGATTGAAGAGGGAACTTGAAATGCATCACTTGGTGTTTAAAATATTAGGCCAGTCGCATCTGCATCCATCACACGGTACTTATCTTTCCTTGTACAGCTCTTTCACTGGGAACCACAGTTGTCCTGTGTGTGATTGTCCCCTCGCTACTAGCCCGTTGACTTCTTTCTTTATTTCCATTTTCTCCATTTGTCATCCATCCATCCAACAAGCACTAAGCACCCAGTGTATGCCTTGTTCATCTTTGTGGGCCCAGAGCTGAGCCACTGAATGAGTGTAAAGGAGGGAGGGGCTTTGTTCCTCAGGACCCCACCGGGCTGAACCTGCTTTCACTTCACCTGCATCTCATCTGTGGCTGTATTCACTACCCTTAACCCTCTCCTCCTCCCCCCACTCACACTAGCAGGAGGGCGTGAACACAGATGTATTCCCGCTGAGTCGCAGAGCTCAGATCCCAACTCTCTGCCTTGCTCCACACCTATCAGGGCCCCCCCCAGGCCCTGATAGAGTATCAGAGTGAATAGGGTTCCTGGCATTTTTTCTGGCATCCCAGAATAAGCACAGGCCTCCAGAGCTCATGCTGCCTCTGGCTGCTGCCCCAAGTCCCCTGAACTATATAGATTTGGGAGAGGCAGTCTAGTCAGTGGACTGGTGACTCTCTCTCCAAGCCTGATCCCACTTTGGCATTTGAACATCTGAGTCGGATTAATTTTTTTCATAAGTCCCAAGAATTTCAGAAAAGCTGTGGTTGTAGGAAAACATTCTAGACCCTTCCTTCCCATTTGCCTGAAGAATGATCGGTCTTAATGCCAGTTATCAAGTGTGAAATGGCAAGGATTAATAATTGTGCAGCCTGAAGTACACTTCAAAAATTAAAGGCTACCGTGCATGGTCGCTGAGCAGAAATCCAAATCCAAGTTCAGAGAATCTTCAGACAGAAACAAATCTTCAAAGGTCAGCCAGTGCATTCCCCAGACTTCAGACAATGCAACCTTTGAATTGCCCCCAGATAAAGGAGAAAACTGTCATCCCAGCCAGCCAACCTTGACTGCAGTTTGCCAAACCCAGACTTCATGAGACCCAGGAGCACAGGGCATTCAGGGTGCATCTGGTCCCTGGTCTCAGTGGGATGGCCCACGGGCCCCTGGCAGCCCACATTCTTGGCATCACAGCCCAGGTGGTTCCCCTACACTAACTATGATTCCTGACCTGTTTTGACTCACAGAGCCATTTGAGCATTTACCATAAGTCGTGGCCCCTCTCCCAGGAGACGTGTCCATCTGTACGTTTCGTCAGCATGTGGTGGACAATTGCCTTAAAGCTGCCTGGGCCCCTGCCCTGCAGGAAATCCGTGCAGCCAGTACCCTTCGAGTGGAAACTCCGCCCCCGGGCCTGCACCTGACGGCTTCTCCTTTTCCCTGCAGAGGTGGTTCAGCTCAGCCTTGCCCCCGAGGAGAGGGTCAGTGTGGCCACAGTGACCGTGGGGCTGAGCACAGTGCTGACATGCGCTGTCCAGGGAGACCTGCGGCCACCCATCGTCTGGAAGCGCAATGGGCTCACCCTGAACTTCTTGGATTTGGAAGACATCAACGTAAGTCACCTGGCTCGGACTGTGGGGTAGTAAACCGTGCGAGGCTGCAGCAGGGCCCGAGGATTTTATTTGGACAGCCCACATTTGGTGCCGTTCTGCCTGTTGTCTGACACCAGAGGTACCAGAAAAGCCAAGACCCACGCAGAGATAGGATGGATGGTGGCTGGAAGGCTGCTGGCCAGGCCCTAAAGAAGGTGGACGGGGGAGGAAGGGGGCAGGCCAGGAAGTCCCTGTACAGGCCATGTAAGAGGAGGGGGCTGTGAAGCAAGCCCATCGCCAGGAGGGAAGGACCGCAGGCCAACATGACAGGCAGGAGGCTCCCAGGCAGGGAGAGCATCTTGGTAGGGTCCCCAGAAGGAGATTCGGACCCTAAAGCTGGGCAGGATGTAGACAGCTAGACACGGGGAGGGAGGGCTCTCTGTGCAGGCAGAGGTGAGCTGCTGGGCTGGGTTGGCTGGAGGGCAGGGCCCCATGAGAGAGGAAAGGAAATGAGGTCAGGCCAAAGGGGCCTGCCGGGGGCCTTATTGCAGAGTGAGGGAGTGGGGATGTGATGAATGAAGTGGAAAAGGAGCCCCTGAGCTCACACAGCCTAACTGACCAACAGGGGCACTGCTATACTCCGAGGGCCCGGGCAGCCTGGGCTGGGACCCCAGTGTCATCCAGACCACCTTTATGACTGTGAGCAATTTCTTAACAGCTGATCCCCAATGAATTAATCTATTAGAAGAGCAACATTTAAAAAAAAGAAAGAAAGAAAAGCAACATTAGCGGTACTTCCCTTCCACTGGACTTGAGGAATACAGGGATTAATTCAAGAAAATGTACTGGCCCTGGTTTGGCACAAGGGGTGAGGTGGCTTCCCAGAAGTCCACATGAGAAGACAGAGTGACGTCACCGATGTAGGGTGTTGGCAGGACAGCAGCTACAGTAACAGAAATACAAGTTTCAGGCAGCCCTGGTCTCCTTTGCTCAGGACAGGCCAGCTGGCCCAGAATGGGTTGCTTGGCCCAGAGAAGTAAGTAAGACCTGTGGGTGAGTTTCCACTAACAGCTGTAAGATGTTGAAGGAAGTGCTGGGGCAGAGAAAGCTGGCCTGGGCTGTATGATCCCATGAGTTGGATTAGCACAAAGGCCCAGAGTGCACCCCAGAGAGACCAATTTGGGCTACTTATCTGGAACACCATTCCAGCCATCAGCCCTACCCGTCCGTCGATGGAGTGAGACATCACAGGAGGCAGTGAGCTCCCCATCCCGAGACATGCAAACTAAAGCAGGAGGGTAGTAAGCAATGCTGCTAGCCACAAGAGGGCAGCTAAAACCTATGACCTTGAAGAGCCCTTCCAACTCTGAGACTGCTTTGTGGGGAGAGGCCCAGCATGAAATTCTGCAGGAAACACCAAAGCTAGGACTCCACTCCTCTCTGGGCCCCTTTGGCTGCATCCTGGGATTGTAGAGCTGTGCAGAGCTGGCAGGAGTGCCCTTCCCCAACCCTTGTCACATGGGGCAGGATTGTTTCCTTGCCTTTTTTTTTTTTTTTTTTTTGCTATAATGAGCATAACGTGCATCCTATCCATCTCTGAATGTCAGTGCCAGCACAAGCCTGTGGATGCTTGATTGACAGATGCTGGGTGGGCAGAGTCTTCTGAGCCAGAGATGCCCAAGGCATGTCTGGGATCTTAGCAAGGGAAGCCATATCCTGTTGATAAAGTCTAGGATGTGTGTGTGCGCGCACGCTGGGGTGCACATTTGAGTGTTCAAAACTCTCAAGGTAGAGATGTCAGCTTTTGATGGTGTTGGGCCAGTGGTGATTGATTCAGAGCTAGGACAGGTCCGCCTGTGTTTGTCTGAACATCCATGTGCATTGCTTGATGTTCTATTTAAAGACACCAGAAATAAAGGCGGAGGCAGAACTTCTAATGCACTTGCCATCAGTTAATTAAATTACTTTGAATGTTTTTCCCCTCCCTCGAACATGCCTCCAGCACCAACTCAATTGCATTTTTACTTTTCACAGTGAGGTTAGCAATTTGGGTAATTGTGGGTGCAACTGGAGATTAATGGCCTCTCATTACCTCCCAGGAAGCACTTGCCGCTTGTGGTCAAGTCAGCAGCCCACAAACAGGCAAGGCCCTGTGCTTCTCAGAATCCCCTGCGTGAGGGTTCAGGGCAGCGCCAGCCCCACAGGGGTCCTCGCCTGATGCCCGCAACCACACATACCACATGTACATATACATATATACCCACATACAATATACATACCACACACCTATACAACATATACACACATGCACATGCACTTGTGGCTCCCCCTGCCTCAAGGTGAAGAGGGGGTGGCAGCACAGGCTCTGGGGTCAAAGGTACCTGGGTTTAAGTCACAACTGTGCCACTTACTAGTTGAGTGACTTTGGAAAGGGCACTTCTCTAAGCCTCAGTTTTCTCCTCTGTGAAATAGGAATAAATAAGTTTCTACCTCAAAGGGTTATAGTGAGGATTAAATGAGAAGATACATGTGACATTCTTAGCATAAAGTGTTCCTTGCTAACTATCGTCACTCTCATTACCCATTGTCATTATAATTACTGCTAGTACACTGCTGCCAAATAATACCTTGCATACTGAGTCCCCAACAAGCAGCCAGCAGCAGCCGTGAGGCTCCCCCTCAGGCAGCTATGACTCTGGGGTGCACCTGCTGCTTGTGATAGGGATGGGGCAACACTGTCCATGTCAGCCTTGATTCATGCAGGGAGACAGACGGTGACCAGCCGCCTCCGGTGGGTCCAAAGCAGCCCTGGGTGAACCGGATGACTCCTCTGTGGAGCAGTGGAGATGAGGTGTCCTCCCTGCAGGCGGCATTTTCAGACTGACTGTGTGATGCGCCTAGCCCAGTGCCCGACACACAGCAGGTGTCTATAAGTGGCAGCCCTCCTCTGGGGACAGTGAGGACAGCAGCCCTGAGAAGAAACCAGCTGGAGAGGGGTAAAGCCAGGTCCTTGGGATTCAAGGGGCATTTTTGAAGCAAGATTGGTCAGGGAAGAACAGCCAGGGAGGGCAATGGAGGACCAGAGATTGATGGGCTCCCTAGGGCGACCCAGCGCCCACCGCTGCAGTCAGAGGCAAAATCCAATCCCCAGTGTTATAATTAGCGACTGGCATAGAAACGTTGTGCAGACCAGGAAGCCGATCAGCCTGCAAAGCCCAAGGCGGGAAGACAGCGAGCACGGGGAGGTGTGGGCCTCCTTTCTTTGTCATTCGTATGAGACATCTTCACTGGCAACAAAATATTAATCACTTTTTCACCACTCTCTTAATGAGACGCTTTCATGGGCAACAAAATATTAATTTGTCTTGTCTTATCTGTTAAGAATTCTGTTAATGAATTCAGTCACAGGGCTATTACAGAATGCCATCCTAATGACACATGTAATTAAACTTTTCTGACTTGCAAACATCAAGGCGGCCTTGAGCATCAGCATAATATTTGATCAGAAAGTAAACGTACCCTCTAGCTCAGAGCCAAGTGAGAGGAGCCCCACGGGTTCCCCAGTGAGTAGTGTCACTTTCGGAAGCATTCTGTGAGTCACCCTGATTGTGCCTGGCCATCCAGATGGCACACATGGGGAGTCGCCCTCTGGATTCGCATACTAAGTGCCAACGGCTCTCAAGGCCTGTGCCAAAGCGTAGAGCAAAGACTCTCTCAGCCTCCAGGGGGCTGAGGAATCCGCAAGGGCAGAATTACAGCAGGTATGGCAGGTTCCATATGAGAAGCGGGGAGCCAGTTCTGGGGGCCGGAAGAAGGAGAGGCTCTGGTTGGTGCTCACATGACAGGGATAAGCAAAGGAGAGGAGTTCGGAGTGACAGGTTAGGACCAGAACATGACAGGCCTTGAGTGTTAACATAAAGGATCTCGGGTATTCCCTGTGGGCGGAGGGAACCATAGGTTTTCATTGAGGAGTGACATGATCAGATGTGTTTTCTACAGGAGTCCTGAGCCCCTTCCCGCCCAAGATTAAACATGTACCCAAGGACGACCCCAAATAAGTAAGACCCAGAAGCTAAGGGAGCCTTACTGGTGCTCGGGGGTTGAGGGAGGACCTTGATCCTCAATAACTTCCCCAATGGTGCATTCCGAGTGGGCTAGTGCCCCCAGGCTGCCCGAAGCTCCTGCCTGGGATTCCCTTCTCATGGCTGTGTCTCAGATCCCAACCCCTTTGCTTCCTCAGGCTGCCGGGGAGTTCGGCAAGAGCCTGGAGTGCCTTCAGAGGATGCCTGAGGCCCCTCCCCACCCCGTTTACATGAGGAATCCCTTCCTCACCACAGCTGGGAACCCCCCTCCCCCAGCAGAGAGCAGAAGTAGGGACCAAGAATGCAAAGCCCCAGAGACAGGGACTCCCCAGCGGAAGGAGCAGCTCTGGGAATTCATGCCAGCGGAAGGAGCAGCCCCGGGAATTCATGCCAGCCTCTGGCCGTGGGTCTCTGGATTATGACTCCGCCTTCTGTTTGGTCAGAAGTCAATAGTTTCTATAACCACGCCTTCCCCAGAGCTAACAAAGGGCCTCCTGCAATTTGTTTCCTTCCTGGCCAGCTGCTTTCTTTACTGAAGCACTTGTGGGTCTGGGCGGCTTCAGACCTGGCCCTGCAGACCCCTCCTCAGGCCTCCAGGACCCACAGCCCACTGCCCCTAGCTCAGAAGCTAAGAGGGGGCATCACGATGGCAGCCCTGAGCTCTGCCTGTCCTAGCCTTAGGCCAGGGACTGAGCTCAAGGATGCTGTCCGGGAGTGTGCCTGCCCTGGTGTATGACAGAGGATGAGCCCTCACACCCCTGGCCCTCCCACCGCAAGCCCATGGTCAGCTGCCCTGGCCTGTGGCCCTGCCCTGCTTAGACAACACGATGCCACATGGGGAGGTCACTCACTCCTAGAGCCCCCACAACCAGAGCTCATGGAAGAAGCTTATCCTCAGGAAGAATTCTGCCTCAGGAGGCAACGAGATGCCTGTCAATG